TCACAACCAAATGTAATTTTATTACTTTCTTTAGTTCTGCTATTAGTAGGTGTTTGATATGTATTTTGATTGTTTTTTCACTTGAGGAAGGCTTTTATTGCGAAAAATTGATACAATATATGTTAATCTAAATATTTTCAATTATTCCGTACAAGGTTTTCCTGTCTTTCTGGCAACATGCCATACTCCATCGGTGTAAGCAAGTGGTAATCAGAAGGTATCTAGTGAGTACTCTGAGTGGGGCAGAATCTCCCTTTCGAGCTGCAACAGTGTGTCCTTGCCATCTCCTGCAACAAGCGGTCACAATGACTTCTGCACTACATTCGTGTGATAGTCATTTATCTGCTTTTGGACTTACTCCACCGGGTGTTCAAGAAAACGCAAATGTTCGTTTAGCGATCTATGGTTTAAGTATTACTGGGGGATTCGAATATATCCCAGCGCTAGCTTACACTTTAAATGAAAGGAAACAATTTAAAAATACGATGACCTTACGCGTCTATCTCTTTTAAGTTCGTTTCACTGAATTATGATTTTTATGGTAGCATAAGTGTTGCTTGTAATTTATTGGGAGTTTTATTTACAAATTATTTGCAGGAAATTAGGTTCACAGCCCTTTTACTAGTTTTGTGCGTTCACAATATCACGATTCAATTCACTGCGCTCGATCAACTTTGTCGTCCGCAATTATTCTGATTTTATAAAGAAACTATTAGCCGAATCTTTGCCCATACAAATAATGAGAATGAAAGAACAAGCAGTCAGATTCTTACTAATTAACAACGTTGCTCCGGTTATTGATAAAAGTGTCCCAGTTTAAATTTTGAACGAAATATTGAATCATTTTGTCATTTAGTTGTCTTCACTTAGATACCCCCTCTTACACGAAAGTTTGCAATTTCCAAGCTCATTACGACATTTTCATGTTAATCCAAGGCAATCATGTAATCGCCAGCAGCATCGTCAGGTGCAGCATCATGAATGTGCTTTTGATTTAAGCATAGTTAGAAGTTGGTTCTTCAGAAAATCGATTAGTTTTCATGCAGACTCCTTTCATCAAATGTGGGATTTCCATAACAATAAATGGGTTCAAATAACTCATGTTTTGTTTTCAACTACAAATAATTTACTTTATTTAATTTTCACGGTTATCCTTAAGAAAATTAATTTTCTGCTCAAAGTTTGAAATTTGAAACTTTTGACATTTAAATTTGAAAGAATTAAAGAGTATTAAAGTAACCTTCTCCGCCAAGTTGTAACGTATCTCAACTTATCCTTCTCCGCGCTTCTTAATTTCATTTGAAATTAAATGTGGCTGCAGACACCATATGCTTATTTTAGGTTTCTCAGCATCATTTTCAACTTTTCCCCAAATCAAAATAATTTACTCTTCATTGTTTTTGCAATTCAATGTTTATTCAATTAGTTCCATCTCATCTCTTCATTTTATTTATTTTAAACTTACATATATTTTTGCGTTTTTGTGTATTTAAAACTAAAAATTATATTAAATTAAGTTTATGAATGCGTTTGCATCTATCATCCATCATTCATCATCAGACGCCATATTAAGCTTGTTCGTGTAAGTCTAAGCCCTTTAAAAAACTGGCCCAAGAGTTTGTGAGTGAGTCTGGGCCTTTTGTTACATCGCCCGTAAAGGACACAAGCAATAAATTATTTACATTTGCCTCAGTAGAAATTTATTGCATTTGTATACATTGCGAACACAAGTTTTCTCTTAGTTTTTTTTTTTTTTTGCAGATTGATTTTTGATCTAAATTTTATCCGCCTAAGTGGATGAGTAGGCAAAGGATATCAACTAATAAGTTAATGGTCACGGCTTCAAATCTCAAATGTGGCCGAGATTTCAATAAAGCCACTGGGTAACCTTAGGTGCCTAGTGCTTTAAGTGTTTCGTCTTACAGTTTATTTCTTTGGTTGAGTTAATTATAGTAATAATAATAATAATAATAATAATAATAACAGTAATAATAATGTAAACTTAATTTTTAAAACATATTTCCATTTAATAGCTGCTCTTTATCTCAGTAGAAATTATCATAAATTTTAATTTTTATAAAGTTCTGCTTTGCATGAATAAATGCATGCTGATGCTGTTTAATATCAATTTACGAACATTTTTATTCACATCTTTAACTTTTTTCTGCAAGAATATATTCTTCAAAGTTTCTGATTTTCCACGTTCCGTTGGATTATTATGTGTGTTCATATGAGATTTCTTGCAATAAATAATTTTTTAATTTTAATGCACTTTTTTATAAACAATTTTGAACTTGTCACAAACAGTTTTAAAAAACGTGCGAAGTACTCAGCAGTTATGATTCGATCGATTTTATCAATAATCTTTTGAACACTTTAAATTTCTACAGAAAAATAAAATTAGGAAAATATATCTCCCATCACGAACTTTTCGTTGTCTATTAATATACTACACATTTAAACTTTTAATTAATATCTGATAAGCAAGGAAAAATAATACTGAAGATTTTGTGGGAGGACTGGATTGATATCAAATTTCTCGTGGAAAACGGGATAACCTCAAAATCAATATCAACAGCAAGCAGTTTTTAGTTCTAGGATAACTTAAGTTAAAAAGTTCTGTGTGAGTATGAATGGAAGGGTTCGTAGGAATGTCTACCCAGTGAGTGATACTTATTTTATTGGTTGGGGGTGCTCAACTGCTTGCTTGCAAATAAATAAAAATTTAAGAAAATTTTCATGAAATAAAAAAAAAGATATTTGTGCACGAAAGGAGTGTAAAAAGTGAAACCAAGAAAGAAAGCTGTACCCTTTGCTAATAAAGCGCATGCCAATCGGATAATCGATATTCATCGAGTCATTTATTCAAATTTTGAATCGATATTTGTTGAAGTGTTGAGCGGAACTTTTGGAAATTTTCTAATTTTTATACTCTACCACTGTATGCCCCACAAAGCCGATAAATAAGTTTGTGTGCGGGTGTGGGCAATACTTTGAATGGCTTGCGGTAGATACACTTTCCTTTATATCAATCGATTCAGAATCATTTTCTTAATCGATTTAGGCCTATCTGATCTTTGTAAATGTATGCATATATATCTATGTAGTTATATGTTCCACCTATAGGTCGCAATTTTTGAGAAGTTTTTCGGAAATTTGCCCATAAACTAGCCCTAATGAAAACGGATTCGGTAAAATTATTTTTATAACCCCAGCGCATAAGCTGTTTTCTTCGAGACTAGTGTAAGTCAATTTTACGCAAAATCTTATTTAAAGATAACAATGAAGACAATCTGCTATGAGCTTTTTATCTATAGACAGCTCTCAAATAAAAATCCTTCAAAATTTTCATCATTTTCTCAAAGTAAAATTATGCAGCTGACGAAGTTACAAATATGATTAACTAGAAAGTGATGTAAGTCCACTTTTCATAAAGACATAATATTACGAAAATCTTTTTATCATCTTGTCCAATCTATCAGATGCGAAAAATCTGATATTTAATGCACCATAAACTTATGATTTTACCATTTTGTTAGCTTTGTGATAAGCCGGGTTGAGGTCCTCAAAAGCAAACACTTTTTTAAACTAACGTTTAATGAAGGAAAAAACCGTGCTGTGGGATACGGCCCATCATTAGATGCCCTTCAACACTTCGCTTGATATAGTTGCTCATCAAATAAGATAAGACGGAGTGTTTGAAGAAGCGGTTTGTTCCGAAATATTTTCAATAGCCTTCGTCCCTGGTCCAACACATGTCATTGGACCAAATTACATCAAAATATATTCAAAATTGTGACCTATTGGTTGAACATGAAAAAACAAAACAGACAGACAGACAGACGCAGAGAAAATGAAAACGATTCGATCCATATAATGAAAAGAAGGTTCATCTCAAGGCGTCGTGGGCATTGCATACTTCCGCACTTACTTAATACATCCGCGTACCATAAGCGGTACAGGGTGTAGACCACCAGTTTAATTTTTAAAAAACAAAAAATGAACGTATTATATATATATATATCAATCCCTTCAATATCTCCACACAGTATAAAATGAAGTTATACCAACAAACGATTCCAAAAAAATTGATCCTATGGCGAAAAGGACAATTTCTAATACTTTATGACGGCAATTGGTCCATAAAAGGAATTGGACCTAAAGCGTAATTACATCAAATTTGCATCAATTTTGGACCGCACCTCTCATGAAAAGTAAGGTATTCTTCAATTTATATGAGTAGTAAGGGCTCCCATGAAAACTGTGACGTTATAAGAAACCAAGGTATAATTATTGATATTTAGGTATTAGGCCACGTGGTGTGGGGTATTAGATACTTTGCCTTAGCCAGCTATAATTTCTGTATTTGTTTGCTCTTGTAGGGGAGAAGGGGTATATTTGGAGTTGGAGTCCAAACCTTTGTCAAATGAATTCGCAAGATGCTCGGACTTTCTTCTCGATTATGACTTGCAGCTGAAATGAGTAACGGTTGCTCAACTAAGTCAGGCGTGAGGTATTTGATCAACCTTCCTGCGGTGACGCACGGAAAGTCAAAGTTACGCATGCCATCGAGATTATGAATTCTTCGGAATAGAATTTTTTTTTTTCTTAAGACTCTTCTTCTTATTCGCCAATTTTTTAACATTAACTTTTTCATTACAATTTATTAAAAAAAAAAAAAAGAAAAAGAAAAGGATGCTCTTTAAAGTTCCACATTTTGAGTTTATTTAATTAAAAAGACATAACAAATAAATTTTTTAATTTATATTTTACTGAAGCATTTACATATCTTTCTTTTGTTTAGCACGGAAACTTATTTACTATGATTTATTATTATTATTTTTTTTTTTTTTTTTGTGTCTCTTTCTTTGACTAATTTTGATCTTTCTTGTTATATTCTTTTTGTTAAATATTTTGTTGTTTTTTTTTTGTGTTTTCGTTACTTTTAAAATTATTTTGCAATTCTTTTGTTTATTCGTTTTTTCAAAATTAATTTTTATAAAATTTTTTTAAAAAAAAAAAAAAAAAAAAATGAAACGAAAAAAAATAAAAACATTTAATCTACTTTAAATGAAATCCTTATAAATTGCTATACTACAGAAGGAAAAGAAACTCTTAATAATATTAACAGAAAATGCTTCAGTGAAACGTTGCTCATAATGAACGTTATTAACGAGCTGGCAGCTAAAGCAGCAGTAATGGTTACATCTACAGCCGTAGTTGTAGCAGCGCCAGCATCATTATGCATGACTTCATTATCCAGAGTCAATGAATTGGCATCATGTTGTAGGGGTGTCTTATGATCAATATTATTATGATAATTAGTGAAATCAGGACCTGAAATGAAAAACGAAAAGAGATTAAAAGAATAAAATCATCCAACAAAGAAGTGCATTAAATATTTCCCGCTAGAAACGTAAACTTAAATCTTTTTTGTTTAATCTCAATTATAAATAAAATTGGGGGGAAAAAAAAACAATAAAGAGAGCAAAAAAGGAAAGATAGAAAATACATAAATTGTATAGAATTTCCTTTTTGCACAATACAATTTTACATTATAACAAAAACTCTGCGAAGCGCGCTGACAAAACATACCCGTACACACTGAGACTTGAGTAGAAAAAACATTCATCTTTCTGTTGATAGTTTTGTTTCTTTTCATTTTCTATTTCTTTCCGTAAGGGTTTCTGTCTATCGGCGAGAGGCATATTAAGTTTCTCTCTCTATATACATATAGCACTTTAGTATAATTACCATATATAGGAGCCTTTGTCCTGAAAGTGACTTAGAAGGGTTATCTTTACAGTTGAAGTAATTCAGGCTTTTTTTCTAAAATCTAATAAAATAAAGCCCGAGTGACCGAGTAGGTGAAGGTTTTTGACTAACAACTCAATGTCCGTTAGCCTTTAGTCCTAGAATTTATTTCTCGGGCTAAACTAATTATAATAATGAGAATGAAAGGCGTAAAGTGGCAGAAAGTGTTCCCAATTTCAATTAAAGGCGAATCGAGGAAACTATACTGTTCTAGAAAAGAGTCTTGAAAACCGTTGACTTTAATCAGTACCTGAAAATTGCACAGTATTTTTTTAGCGATTGGACGGCTTCTCAAAGATCTATCGAGCTACGGCTTAGGCGGAATTGCTTTGCCAACCTTCATTTATTGTTGTAAATGCTTTCGTGGGCAAATCTATTCCAAACATAAGTGGTGAAGTTGAAAAGAGAAACTATAGTAGAAAGCATATGCGGTGCTTCAATTTTTCACTTCCGCTTTTCGAGCTTCAAAATTTCAAAAACGGACAAAAGACAGAAGCGAAGACAGGGAGAGGCGGATGGAAGAAAGCAGGAATAGGAAAATGGCCAGGAGAAAAACCGAAAAGAAAAAGAAATGCATAAAGACACGATGTGGTGGGTGCATGGAAGCTGGACAGGTTATAAATGGACGGCCATGGCAAAGTTTCCTCAGAATTCCACATCAAACAAGTATACATACAAATATGCATAAGTCCTTGATAAGCGTATCAAGCTAAATCGATCTCTGGAACTTATCTTTCTTTTAAAAACTAAGAAGAGTAAAGAGACCTAAGTTTTTTTTGTTTTTAATCACTGATCTATATAAGCCCGCGAGGAGACAAGATCGTCTTCTTAGCTAAAATTTCTATATGTTTTGCAAATATTACGCAAAACAAAAAAAAAAGCAAATATTGTGGAGATTAGTCTTTCTAAAGCCTAGCACAAGCCAAGCCGTGCAACATCGTTTACGATATTTTTTGAAACAAATCAAATATTAAAAACGAAATATTTATCTAAATTATGCATTTTGTTTTTATTCCATATAACGGAGAAATAACTTTTGCAAATTTCTTTTAAGCAAGAAGTACATGTATATAGGGTATCGCTTCGTTCGTTTAAAATCGAATATTATTTCTGTCTATTTGTTTTATTTGTTCGCTTTTTTTCCAATTCCATGCAAAAACACTTTGTTAAGCAGGAAAACGCAAAAAGCATCACCATTAAAATGCCTGCAGTTGTGGTGGTGTACCCGTCGAGCGTGTATACGCGTGTATGCAAAATTTTTTATTGCTTGTAACACTTACTTATTCAACAATGTGTGTAAAGATCTATAAATATATGTTTCATATTTTATTATGTACATTTGTTCAGTCGTTATGTGTGTGTGCGTAAAGTTTTTCCTGTTATTTTATTTTTTTTTCAAACAATTGATATCGAGTGACATTGTGTTGAGCGTATTACTGTATTTGTTTGAAGTTATTTTTATTATTTATTTTTTTAAATTTAACGAATCGCAATGCAGTCACAGAAGCGGTAAGAACGGAACAAAGATATTAAGTTATTTGGAAACAGTTGCTAACGCATGTTTTTTTTTTTTTTTTTTTTTGGGATAAATCTCTGCGGAAGCCTGATGAAAACGAATGCATTAAAGAATGTGCAATTCAATTTTTTACTTTTTTTTTGTTTTTTTTTTAGATGTGCGTCGCAATATTTGTACCCTACTCCTTTTGCGGCCCGAGGTTATATTAAGTTTGTGCGAATGTATGCAGTCTCACCGAGGACTTGAGAGAGAGTCAACTGTTATTGAACCGGTCGATTCAGATTGAATTTTTGAATCGATTTAAGCATGTATGTCCGTCAGTACACCTTGTTATCTTATGTTCAATCTACAGAAAGCAATTTTGAGATATTTTGATGGATTGTTTTACACTGACGTGCTAATGAAAATGATTCGGATCGGACCGTTTTCCGTAATACATCTAACTAACACTTTGAAACGTTTTTCTGATCTTTCAGCATCATAGCATTAACACTATCAAGCCGTCTTTAAGCGCGTGTAAAGGTTAGCAGTCCATAGATAGTTGAAGAAAAAAAATGCTTTTTAATCGGGCGTAAACAACTGCGTTTTAAAAACGAGCCAAACTTGTAAAAAATTTCGCTATACATCACAACATCAAGGCGATAACGCTTCATAAAATTGAGAAAAAATCCCGTGGCATTTATGGTGAAGATGTTTTATCAAAATGCGTAGCATACAAATTGTCTATGCTTCTCCGCTATGAAGTGTTCAATGTGAGAGACGAAATGAGTTTTTGTCGAGCAAACGTTAAAAAACTCACTGAAGTTAACAAAGAATTTAAAAGCGGCGGTATACTTTTTGTTATGATGCCGCGACAAAAGGAAGCCTTGGCAGCTTTAAAGGTGCTCGCAAAACGATGCTCGAGATACGGTTTTCACATGAGTTATTAGTGAAAAATTTAAAAAGCAGGATTTCTAACTAGGAACTACCTCCGAAACGATATGAAATTGAAGGACTTTTGAAGTGATTTTTAACGAGCTATGAAAAGTGGGTCCCATTTTTCAATTATGTGCAAGAAATATCGTAATCCAATGTGGAGGAAATTACACAAGTTCAAACTAATTGTACGTAAAGTAAATATTGTCACGAGCTACTGCAACTTGGCGACACGATTGCCTCTACTTTCTATTGCCAATAACCCGGGTTTTTAAAGCGGGTTTCTGACAAAACGCCAGACTATACGTGTTTTTAATGACTCGGCAAAAATTAGCGAAGCCTATTAGGAAAGCTTTGATTATTCGACCGTATAGAGCACGCCGACCGACCCATGATAGTGATGAAAAGTTAATTTCAAAGCAGGCCTGCGAAAATCGCTTGTTTCACTTTGCCCCGTCAGAAATCTCAGAAATTTTACAATGGTCTTACCACCAAAGCGGGCATGGTACAGAAAAGTTCATTTGAAATGTCAGAAAGGTATTTTTGAATTTCTATGAAAAACGCCTCGAAGTTTTTCTTTTGCTTAGTACATAGCTTGGAAATGCGTGTTTTTTCCACAACCACACACCATCCTTATAATTGAAAAATTAAAGCACATAGCTTCAGACGAATTTCATTGGTTATGAGGAAACGGCAACTAAAATATATGAATTTCAAATTCTCTATAATCAAGGGTAATAACAAGCGATGGCAGCTCGTCTGCTTTGACAATGCGTAGACACGAACATAGTAGACAGATAATTACACGAACAATATCGAATTATGTTATTATTATTACTATCATTATTATTATTAATTTAGCCAGGGAAATAAATTCTGGGACTACAATCTTAAAGACGATCGGCTTTTGCATTATGATAAAAGGTTTCTTTGTTATATGAATGTCGAAAAACGGATTTAGGCGATTATTGCGAGCCTCGAAGAAGTCAAGGTCAAATCTAGTGCTCCAATCCGCAGGTTACCTGGTTTATGTTCTACGAAGAATAGGAACCTGGTAGTATTGGATGAAATAAAATCTCTTCAAAAGTGAATGACCTTGCTAGGGCCGAACACTTTCAAATATGTTCGAGCATTTGCATCAACATGAAGCGTTAAAATCTTATTTGATTGTTATTTTCTAAAGAAAATTACGATCTGAGCGGTAAAAGCTTCTGATGAAAACTTCACACGAAAAACTTCTGTTCTATTTGATAAGAGATCGTTTTCTTTTGCTCTTAAATGCTGAATAAAAAAGTCATTAACAATTGTACAGTAGCTCTGCCAATCGCTTTATATTTCATAAGAAGTTTTCGTTTAATCTAAACAAGCAGCTAAAGTTTATTGTGGGTTTCTACTTGAAGTTATAATTGCTGCATGTCGCAATGTCGTTAAGTCTCCCTTATCTTCTTCAATGTAAAGGGCATCAAATTTCACATCTACAACACTTAATCTGTAGAAGCTTAAAGACAGTGACACAGTTCGTTTCGTTTTAAATTTACAGTGGAAGTGTAGTTGCATTTTCAAAAGATTCGTTTGCACTCACAAGTCTTTGAAGTAAGGAATAGAAAATTGCAAGTTGAGCTATATATTATATTTTATTAGTCTGATAACGTACACTACTTATTACCAAAGCGACTTAAAACGTTGTGCAATTGCATGGCTTATGGAAATATTTATTCCAGCCATGTTTCGTGAATTCAGAATGAGTCACGATTGTTCGGTCAAATCGCTCCATATAAAGTAAATAATTATAGCATTTAAAGTAAAGGGACCTCCCATATCGTTCCTTAAAGATTCTTACTTCGTTAAAAACTGACGGATTAGTTGGATTTATGGTTTAGTTGAGTAATTAGCTCCCTTCATGCTTTTAAAAGGAGGAGCACTAGTGGAACGATAATCGTTTGGACAAACTGTGGTTTTAACAAAATGATATAACGAGCCACACACATGATGTACACCCACATTGGTTTTTTTTTTACGCGATCGCGTGATATCATTGCTATGCTCTAAGAAACCTAAAGCAAATTTCACTACTCAATTTTAAGGCCAACCT